AATACTGCTTAAATTGTCTCTTAATATTGTGCTGTCCCGGAGCCTCATCAGCACCTAAATATTGTATAACACAGAGAGGCACCAAATTTAATTCAAAAATTACCCATTGTTGCCACTGCCAAAGTGTAAAGCTGCCCTTACGGGAGCCGCGCCTTTGTAGTGAAGAGAAATGAAATGACTTACCCACCACCCCTTCTTAAATAGTAGCGGACGTACTGTGACGGTCATTGCATGTGATATGAAAAATTGCGTGACATTGGGCACGCAGTTAAGTTAATAGTTGTAGAGCGTCACGTAGTTCGTCCTTACTATTTATTTCGGGGGATAATTTTCTTATTTCTAGCGCCTCCAATAGTTTTAATTTAAGGAAAACTATTGGAGGCGCTAGAAATAAGAAAATTATCCCCCGAAATAAATAGTAAGGACGAACTACGTGACGCTCTACAACTATTAACTTAACTGCGTGCCCAATGTCACGCAATTTTTCATATCACATGCAATGACCGTCACAGTACGTCCGCTACTATTTAAGAAGGGGTGGTGGGTAAGTCATTTCATTTCTCTTCACTACAAAGGCGCGGCTCCCGTAAGGGCAGCTTTACACTTGGCAGTGGCAAACACATGTGGGTATCAATATGGGCATAGTAGTTCACCAAATTATTTACATCTACTATAATCAATGTATTTCAGGCCTGAAGAAGGTGTTAAACACCGAAATATCGCGGAGGATTTCAAAAGGATTCTTTTTCAAATAGCTTTTTGCTCTTTTGAAACTTTTGAGTTTTTGGAATTTTTGAACTTTCTGAACTTTTGGAATTCTTTTGAAATAAAATTTTGGTGCCTCTCTGTGTTATACAATATTTAGGTGCTTAAATTGTGTTTATTTTAAGTCGATGACTCTCATTTTATAACGATTTGGTTTCTGACTAATTATTGTAGCGCACCTACGAGTGCATAGTAATAAATAAATAAATAAATAAATAAATAAATAAATAAATAAATAAACACACATTCTCGGAAGCCTCTTATGTGGCCTATTAGTGTAATAAAAACCATTTATAACGCACTGCTCTCTAATTTTTCTTGGCACAAACTTTCTAATCTTATGGAGTTCTGTATCACTTCATCTTACCCTAGCTATCAAGAAAAGTCAATCAGTTGTGAGTTACGTGATCGCAACTGTGCCATCCCTTATTCTGTGATCGACCAGTAAATAAATAAATAAACGTAGGGAAAATCAGGGGATCAACCGTTTTTTGGACCGTGGTGCATTTCAGTTAAGTTCAGGAGAAATATTATAAAAACAGGGGAACACTTCACTGATGCTAATGGTAGTGGCGAAGTACCGAACCCCCTCTGAAGGCGGACGGGGAGTCCGCCCCTATAGCATTCGGAGCTAGTCAGTCCCTTTCAAGATACGCTATGCATTCATGTTCCATTCTTAATGTATTAGTAAAGCTCACGCAGGATGAGCATGACTTGCGGGAGGCGGCCAATACACTATTTTGTGTTTTGGCCACATTCGATCATGTATCAAATGACCGTCCAAAAACAGAAGTGCTGGCTGGGATTTGCGGAGTCGTGATCCTACCGAAAGGTAGCACATCAGTACGTGTCAGCCTTTTAACTTTGTTATACATAAAGAAAAAAATGAGCCGTTCGAGGACTAGATAGGGATTTTTAGTTTTTTTAAGGATTTTTAGGAGGCGTACTTCAATCACCTGACGGTAGGGCAGGGGATCGCCGATCGTATCAAAGGTGTCCGAATTGAGAGTTGTCAAGATCTAGGCAATCGGTCTTCGGTCAAGAACCTTCCGACATTATGAAATCCATTCATTCCATTATGAAAAGGTGTTGCTACCCTACTTCTTCCTCCTTTTCCATAAATGATCAGCCGATGTGCTAAGCTCTGTAGTCCATGTAGATGACCTTGAGGAGTTTCAGATTTGGGTTAATTTTCGAGTAACTCGCTTTTATAACATTCACATCGCAAACAAGATGACATTGAAGCGCTATCCAACTACAACTGTTGAAAACTGGTTTTTATGTGGTTTCGCTCATGTATCGCCCTTTTTGTGTTCAATAATTTGATTTTCCACTTCTACGTGTCCTGTGGATTCATCCCCTGCTTTCAAACTATTACAAACCAGAGGCTCTACAGTAGAGAAGTAAAGACCACAAGAAGCTGTCATGCTGCTCAGAATAAGGATTAGAATATTGCTGACACGTTGGAGACCACGTAACGTTTTAGGCCTGGTGGCCCCGCGTAGAACTTCAAAGAAATGATGGACAGCTCAATGAGCAATTTGGAAAGAAAAGCTCAGGGTTCTATGTAGAGGAAGACGTTTTGAATAAGTGGGTGAGAAAAACAAGAAAGTGACTCAGTATCTCCTGCGAAAATGGCCCACATATGGACTGCGTGGCCTAGAAGTGTTCAAGAAACAGATTTCCAAGAAATTCGATAGCTACAGGGTGTCCCAATATCGCACCACATTTTGGGCTTGAACTGTGTGGGCGTTTAAAGTTTCGTTCCGAGATTGGCAGACCTTTCAATCCTCATCCTCTTGCGAATAACCATGCCAAATTCCACGGCTTACCGTTCGGCCTGCATCTCATGGTGCGCCTAAACTTCAACAGAGTGCCTAATCTTTCACACAGCTAGGTCGGACATCCGGTAATAAACATCGCACTTCTTCGGAATCTAACCGCTCCGCGGCCTACCGCGCACTGTAGAGAAGAACCATAATGTAGGCTCCCTGCAGCCGCCCGTAAGTTCTGCCATCTTGGTTCTCAGGAAAAGCATGAGGAAGCGGATCGACTGCAACCCAAGTTTACTTGAGAAAAGTGACCAGAACGCTGAGATTTTCAAACAGAATCTTATGAAAAGTGGTCTTGTAACAACCGCTAACAGTTCGTTGTAAGCTGCACAAGTCCTACTGCTCCATCGAACCAGAGCCGGCGCAGCCGTAACAAAAACTGTGCCAAAGGTCGAAAAAGGCTATTACGTGGGCAACATTTTCTTCGACGGCTATTAACTGTGGATACAGCCATTTCTCTTCAAAGATTTTGCCATTTCATGTCCTTGGCAGCAGATCATAACAATCATAATAGCCCTTTTTGGAATGAATTGTCTCAATGTAAGGCTCCAGGATAAATCTGCAATAGTCCGTTAACACGGGACGAATTGACAGAACACGTGGAGGCACAACGTGGCATTTGCCGTAAAGCAACGACATTGTCCAGCAAAGGGCGACACAGTAAGTGCAACCATCCAAAAACAGCATTCAAACAAATGTAATTGAAAATCGCTTCAATGTTATCCTCCCGAGCGTAAGTGCGATGCGAATGTAGTCAAAACATATTCACCAAAAATCACCCAAAAATCACCGAAAATTTTCAAAAACTAGAACATTGTCTGAAAGCCTCTCGAATTTCGGTAATATGAAAGGGCTTGGAATTAGATACCGAATAACCCGTAGCCTAGAAAATATTCTTCGCTGTGGTTCTATTCGTCTTCATCAAACCCTTTTCAAGTCCTTGAAGATGCTAGTCTACTTGTGGTTACGTATTAACTCGCAGGTCTATGAGGTTCTTGGAACTTTTGTTTAGGAGGGAAACCTTTCGCCACGTGTTTAGGAGGGAAACTTCGCGATAGGGAAACATATACAAGGGAATGGTGACCAAAGAAAAATTGCTTTGATCAGGATCTTTAGAGAGTTTGTCAGGAAACAGACTTCAATAGGCACAAGCAGCCTCACATCTTTTGCCCTATCTTCTTCAAAATATCAGACCACAAACCATTGATAATTTTTCCTATTAACCCCTGAACCTGCTGCGCGATTTCGATTTCAACTATCAAGTGAGTGGCAGACAGGGTCAACCCTACGTTGTTACTAGTAACAACGGGGGGGGTCGTACCTGGTTGAGTTTATAGGAGGGGGGTCGTATCCGCTTCAGTCGCGTGAAAGTACATGTGAGTTTGTGGTGAAAGTGGAGTTTTCACGAGTAGTAGGCTAGGTGAGTTGGGAGCGCATGGGAGAAAAATTCGCCGTTTCAGCGCGCGTATATACCCCCTAGAAAATGAAGTAGTGGGAAGATAGGTAAAAATGGGTAAAAAATGGTGGAAATAGAGGAAATTTTGGAGAAATTTTACTGTTTTGGAGTGGAGTATATACCCCCCCCCCCCGCTCGACGGCATTTTTGGAGGAAAAAGTGGGCGGAGTTTGGTGGGTTGAGTGGTACAGAATTAAATACTATAGAGATGATGGTGGTCGAGGTGTCGAAAAGGGGGTCGTATCAAATCCACCTTGGGGGAGGGGGGTCGTAAAAATTTTTCGAAAAGTAACAACGATAGGACCGACCCTGGTGGCAGAAAGAGAGGTGCTCACCATGGATCCAACTGCTCTGTATTTCTACCGCTATATATAGTGTGCGATGTCCCGCCTTGCCGTCTCAGAGATGGACCAGCTGGCGCCTGTGTGACGTCTTCATCTGGGTAAATTTACTTGTGTTCCTTTGTGCCAAAGATGGTACTTTGATGATCCTGTGGTTTGACATGATTTGTTCAACTCAATGTTGGTCAACTGAAACAGTAAATAAATAATTATTTTTTGTTTTATTCAGTGTAGCAAACGAAGTAAAAAAGTAACTTTCTTGTGTCCCACCTTCCTGTAGTCAACGAGTCTTGTTCCGCAATCTATTGCGATAGAACGATTCTGCGAGGAACTAGAGCAGCACAGACACTACCTGGGAGTCATCAAACAATTTTCGTGATAAAGTAGTATAACTAGCCAAGTGCCTAGTTTCATCAGCTGTGAAAAAGAGCGGTCCCCAAAGTGCAACACAGAGAGATATGGATGTTGTGAAACTCTCAATGAATGAAGCTGTACGTGAGCAATTTTCAAACCAATATAATTGAAAAAACATATGCGGACTTGAATGGGGTGGGCGGGTCATCCCTATAAAAGGATGAATTGCGAGGGAGATTTGTTACAACCGAAATGCTGTTCGCCGTTGCTGCCCTCGCCCTGCTCCTGGTGGATGTCAACGCTCAACGTAAGCTTATTTGTCATGCTGCTACAGTTTCTAAAGATCGCTGTCCTGACTATGTCCTTCGCTAAGCCAATTGAGAGCGTCTACACAATGGCAGTAAGAAACTGTAATACTGTTTCAGTTCAAGAATGTCATCTCAGCCCAGCTGTGCAGGAAGTATATGAACAGTTCTTGCTCAAGGCTAATCCAGGCCTGGTCAGTCTATCTCCTTCATAGCAGAAAATCAGTGTAGAGAAAAATGATTCACGCACAGCCTGTCGATCAAATCTCGATCTTGATCTCGCAAGTGCCACCCAGGTGATGCAAAGCGCGACTTCGGCGATAAAACACTGACATGAATAAGGACCGGCTCGTGCAGCTCATTGCTCAGCCTGCTTATGTATTCACATGGTGCAACGATTTTGAAATGAAGAAGAATGCGCCAGGGATCCTGAAAAACAACTGACTGGCCGCGAACGCTTTGAAGCTCATATTTTAACGTGAACTGAATGAAACAGTGGATATATCTATTATTTATCTCGAGCATACTTTTGCATTCAGATATGGAATGATGCCATGTCGAGCCAGGCTTTGCGAGAATTAGAAGAACCAGGAAGTGTACTGAGACCCGGGGCACCTTACATACACTTTGGCGCTGAAAGGTTCGTTTGCGTAATGGCTTGCTCAGTCTTTCACAAAGTGAGAGTGTTCGTTTAGGACCTTCGAGGATAAAGAAAAGCCATTTTCAATTCCGAAAAAAACGCGTTACACCCTTTTTAAGATGGTCAAATTCTGGAGAAAGGTGAGCTGCTTACAAAGAGTTGTGAGAAGGTTTGTAACCTTCTCACAAAGCAAAAATCACTGCAAAGTGGAAAAAATAGGCTTCAAACTCCAGTTCCAGTACTGGTAGTGAGTTGTTCTTTGGAGGTGACAGGGTACTGAGCAGCATTCATAAGGGTAAGTAGGACAAGAAAAAATGCGTGTAAGACATCGCGTCGAGAATTTGTTGCGAGCCTCGAATGCAGTGTATAGACGTGGCACTATTCAAGCATTCCAGCAGGGTCAACCGTTACGTTGGACCGACATTGGACCGACGTTGACCGCTCTCCGCGCCGGCATTCACTCTCGCCACCCGCGAGCCGTCTGTGTCTCCGTGCGTACGTTCACTCTCGGCATTACTCTCACACGTAGTCGCCATGCGTTGGACTTTGTCCAACGGACGGTTGACCCTGCATTCCAGTCTTACACTTGGAAGAAAAGCCGTAACGCTTTTGGCGAAACTTCAACTTCGTTGCTGGATGATGGTTAACAAATGATAAGGTTAAGATTCGTTTCTGGCGCTTGGGAAATTTATTTACAGCTGAGTGCCATAAATTTCTCTAAGAAATTCGCTAGCACTAAATTACGACGTGGGCAATAAAATTATTGGTTTGATATGATTAAATGACACAGATCAGTTGCATCGAATTCAAATGCATTGCAGACTCAAATAAGGACAGTCCGTGGCACACTCCAAAAAGCGATTGACCAGAACTCGTGGTTGAGCCTTCATCCCTTATTATTTAGCCGGTTTCTACCACCTGAAATTCTGACCTTCCAAAGTGTCCTCTGTCGATGTGTCCATATAAGGTGCCATGTTTATATTATATTTATGTACAGAGAAAAGCACGATTCTCCCGAAACTGGAGGTTATACGAATTGAGGGTTAATGAAGTCAGCAATATAAAATAAAGGACAGAGCTTGCCGCCGATTGATTTACCAGCCAATGGTAGGAGATTTTGTAGTGGACTATTTCTTCTGTCGTCTTTTGGAAAGGGATTGTAACGTCCTCGGCTGCAGTTCTTCCAAGATTTCTTCCTTCTTCTTTTTCAAAAAGAGGAATGAAGAAATTTTGGTCCTATTTCTCACTGATTCTTATGGTAGAGCAGCATGTTGTCTTGTCCGTGTATTTTAAAACCACTTTTTCAGATCCACGGACTCAGCGAAGGTGTGAACTATGGATGCAATGGCGTGTACACATCTGAAAACAACAAAGACAAAATGAAGGTTCTGTGTCTCTTCCAGAACTACTAAGCTTCACTCCAAAATGATATGTGTTTATTTGTTCGAATGTCTAATTCGTTTTAGGGTGGGCTTTCTTTCACTAGTAAAGCTTTTTCCGAAGAAAGCGCCCAGTTTCCACATGAGCAGGCAGCAACACACCGAACACTTACCAGCACACAAAAATTATCAATCTTGTAGTGTGTTTTGCAGAAATGTGTGGACAGTAGAAAGGCAGTGACAGAACGATGAAAGTAACAATGTAGAATTATTTCGTGGAAAGAAGCTCTTAAGATGGGCT